AAAGTGTCGCCACCTCAAAAACAAATTTAACACAAGATTGTTTGTGTTGGCTCATATCCTTTCATGCTTTCTGTCTTTTATTTGTGCCTGATGTGTTTTGCTGCTGCGGAGCAGAGCGCATCACCTGTTTTGTCCTCCGCTAACTTCACCTCACCGGTGCAGTTGGCGCGCACTCCGCTATTTTTGCGGTCAGTAGATCTTTATGAACTTCAGTTCAAAGGTAACTCATGAAGTGAAATATATGAAGCCAGGTAGCAGTTTTTCTTTGGGATTGAGAGGAGATGCAGGAAGATAATAAACAGACAGGACAGAAAAAATAGTCAAATAAAAACAAGTTCGTTTTGGTGGTTGCAACAAACAGACTCCTGAAAATAATCAGAAATGAGGAACATAAAATGAAATTATTCTTTCAATGTTTAGAGCAGCAGGAACTCTGAGAGGCTGCAGGCACATCAGGGAGTTTTCGCAGCTAAGCAGGGAAACAGCAAAGATGCAAAAATGACCATTGTTCAAAGAAATGTATGTTAACTTTGAAAATGTGGGCGAAATTTTTAATTGTCAAAAACTCCAGCAAATCAACCCCCCCCCATCTCTAGATCTATCTATCTATCTATCTATCTATCTATCTATCTATCTATCTATCTATCTATCTATCTATCTATCTATCTATCTATCTATCTATCTATCTATCTATCTATCTATCTATCTATCTATCTATCTATCTATCTATCGATCTATCTATCTATCGATCTATCTATCTATCTATCTATCTAATCTATCTAATCTATCTATCTATCTATCTATCTATCTATCTATCTATCTATCTATCTATCTATCTATCTATCTATCTATCTATCATCTATCTATCTATCTATCTATCTATCTATCTATCTATCTATCTATCTATCTATCTATCTATCTATCTATCTATCTATCTATCTATCTATCTATCTATCATCTATCTACGTATCTATCATCTAATAAATGCATCACAGAAGGAATACACAAAAGACATTCGCTGAATCATGCTTTTTGAACCTTCATGGTTCCCATACTCTCCCTGCGCACGAGCAGAGCGTGCTAGTAATATGTATAAATGAGCTAACGTTAAGCTTAGGGTCTCTTTTTGCCATCTGGGTGGAGCCGAGCAGCGCTTTTGACGCTAGCGCAGAGCGGAGCTGCAGGGGAAACATTATTTGATGGGGGAGCGTGACTTGATGGTACACCGAGAACGTTTCATTTACAAATTAAGCACTGGCTAAAACCACACAAAAATCATGACTACCCACCAATAACTAGTTTAATGCATTAACAAAAAAATGAGTCTTATGCTCACTCTTGAAATTATCGACAGACTCAATGAAACGCTATGAGGAGGGTAGATCATCCCAAAGCTTAGGAGCTACAGCTTCGAAGGATCGGTCACCTTTGGTGCGAAAATAAATATTTTTTCTTTTTATCCCTTTCAGCGGAGGGAGATTTCAGCCTGGAGTTTTTGGTTTTTCGGCGCATCCTACCTGTTCTCGGGGTGGTCGAGCCCTCTGGGAGATTCCGGCGCATCCTAGCTGTTTTCGGGGTGGTCGGGGTCATTCTCCTCTCCTGCTGTTTCGCCCCGTCCAGTTTTTCACGGAAGCTGCTGTTCCTGGAGTACTCTTATGGAGGTAAAACCTCCTACGCACGCCATCATTCTCCAGGGTGGTAGGGCTGGTCTTCCTGCTCCGTGGCCTGCTTCCCTTCACCCGAGCCTGCCTGAGGATCCTGTCGAGTCACGGTGTGCACCTGCTCAGAACCGTGGTCGAGTACCTGCTGCCGCTCCTGGTTCCCTCGCGTCGTTCCTGCGGTTTTCGTCCCACTTCCTGGTCCACGCCTGCAGGGTCTATGCCTGCAGGTCCTTCACGCGGCAGTTCCTGCTGGGTCCTATGCATGCTGCTGCAGTTCCTGCTGGGTCCCACGCCTGCTGCGGTAGTTGTTTCCTGTCCAGTCAAGTCTTCGTGGTTCAAGTCAAGTCTTCGTGGTTCAAGTCAAGTCTTCGTGGTTCAAGTCAATTCTTCGTGGATCCAGTCAAGTGTTTGTGGTCAAGTGTTCGTGGTCAAGTGTTCGTGGTCAAGTGTTCATTTCCAGCCAGGTCAAGTCTTCGTGGTTCCAGTCAAGTCTTCGTGGTCAAGTGTTCGTGGTCAAGTGTTCGTGGTCAAGTGTTCGTGTCCAGCCAGGTCAAGTGTTCGTGTCCAGCCAGGTCAAGTGTTCGTGTCCAGCCAAGTCAAGTGTTCGTGTCCAGCCAAGTCAAGTGTTCGTGTCCAGCCAAGTCAAGTGTTTGTGTCCAGCCAAGTCAAGTGTTCGTGTCCCTGGTGTCAAGTCAAGTGTTTGTGTCCCTGGTGTCAAGTCAAGTGTTCATGTCCCTGGTGTCAAGTCAAGTGTTCGTGTCCCTGGTGTCAAGTCAAGTGTTTGTGTCCCTGGTGTCAAGTCAAGTGTTCGTGTCTGAGTTTCCCGGTCCGTCCCAAGTTTAGTCTTCGAGTCTGAGTTTCCCGGTCCGTCCCAAGTTTAGTCTTCGAGTCTGAGTTTCCCGGTCCGTCCCAAGTCTAGTCTTCGAATCCGAGTTTCCTAGTCCGAGCTCAAGAGACCCTTCGTAAGTCGGAAATGTGCCGCCTGATCCCAGAGGCCCCTGCTCCGCGACCCTGGTCTGAGTTCGAGGAGTCTTTGTAAGTCGGAGTTGTGCTGCCTGATCCCAGAGGCCCCTGCTCCGCAGCCCCGGACTGAGTTCTTTGTTCCCTCATCATGTGTGCCCGAGTCTAGTCTTCGTTGTTCCCGAGTCTCCTGTGCTATGTGGCTTATGGGCATCTGGTATCCGCCCCTTGGGGGGGGGGGGGGGTACTGTCATGATCCGCCCCGGCCTCCCTGACTGTGTCTCTCCTGCCTTGATTAACCTTATTGTTCTCACCTGTCCCTCATTACTCTGCCCATGTGTTCCTGATTTCCCTGTGTATTTATACCTCCCTCCTTGTTGCTGTCTTCGTCGGATCATTGTTGTTTGTTCATGCGTGTTTTGTCCCGTCTCTCCCGTTCCACCATTAAACCATTTTTACTTTTTCATCCGCGCCTGCTTTCCTGCCTCTGGAACCCTCCACCACACTTGGTCCGCCATCTCCACCTTCACATCATGGCATGTTTCAAGAAACCTTATTTGTTTAGTGATTTTTTTAAATCGAGACCTCCTCATTGACTGAACATCAAACATATTGTTTCAGTTTGAGGTCCCTCAGACCCCACAGGCCTGCTTCCAATATGTTGTAACAAAATCTGTTTTTAATGAACACAGTTTTCCCAGCAGGTATTGGGTTGCTTGTGTGTGGAACTTTCTTCTGTTGTTGAAAAATAGCATGCATGGTATCAAATAACATGCTTTAAGCTAGCTGGCACAACCAAAACCAAGCAGATTTTTGCACTGCTTCTAACAACGTTATCTAATATAGTTTTACACTTTGTTTAGTTTTGCATCACATGGTTACTTACAGGCTTAACTATTACTACCAGCAACAAAATGTAGCACTTATGGTGCATCCAGGGGTCAGCTCTGGCAGGGATTTCTTAATATTTCTGTCAAAAATAACATTTTGAAGATCCACCACTGATAGGCACAAAAATGTTTTCAAAAAACAAGCAGACAATAGTTTTGGTGAGCAGAGAACTCTTGGTTTGTCTGCTAAGAAGTGCTGTCAGCTTTAATTTTGCTAAGATGTGCCAAAAAAAAAAAAGAAAAGAAAAGGAAACACTTGCCAGCTTGTAAGAGTACAAAATGAACTAAACTTGAAATCAAAGAGTGATGTTGAGAATTCAGGTTGGTGAAGGAGCTCCATTTTCAAACTTTTGGCTCAGTGTGGAAACAGTTGATGTGTTTAATGGCTGCACATTCGAGTTTTGCTCGGCATGTCTAACACAAACGAAAGGCTTCCAGAGTAATGCGTCAACTTTTCCACTTTTGGTGTACAAACTCCTTTAAACTAATCTAACACCAGTGTAAAAGTTCATTACAATGATGCTACATGATCTGCAGCAGTATCTGTGGTATTGACTGCTCCTGGACTAGCCAGTAGCTTATCAATCATCAACGGCTTAAACTGTATTTCTCCAAGCGGAGGCACTTCATAGAGCTACAAATGAGTAATTATGTAGAAATTTTTATACAAAAACAAATTTACATATAAAATTCTTTTATTTTGAAATAATAGTTTGAAATTTACATGGGACAAATAAAGATGTGGAGATGAGTGAAGTCTGATCTGTAATTAAAGAAATTTTCACTCGAAAATTTGACAGAACCATGTCCAACAGTCTACGAAGCGTGCTCTATTAAACTTGTAAGCATCATTAAAGTGCTATGATTTTGGAGTTATTGTTCAGTGAATGAACCAGGCATTGATTTTATTTATTTATCTATCTAATTTTGTGGCTTTGGTCATTAATAAACACTGACATAAAAAGAGGCAGTTTTTCATGAATATTCCCACTGAAAATGTTGTGGACTTTGCTCTGTGGGGAGCAGTTTATAAAGTTATGCGATCAGTCCATCTAAGATGGGGAATATACTCTGCAGAAATAAAAAAAATTGATTTATTTCTTCAACAGAAGAGAGCACACCAGAGTTATATTCTCCTTTTCAGTCATTTATTTATTAAATGCTGGCTTTTATCTAGTTATGAAGTAATTTTCAGACCTTGTCAATATGCTACGGATCAATATCTGAGCCACATATATTTTCAGTGTCTCATTATTTAGAAAAAAGAATGTATGCATGCATTTTTCAAAATTTGTTGCATGTAGTTTTTGAGCTAATCACGCAACATCTCTCTCTAGTGGGCAATACTTGCCAGTGCATTTATTTTTCTGTTGACCATGAAGCGAATCTCACAGAAAATTGATAAACCCAATGACAAACACTGAGTGCATGCTGCAAGAGGTCGTGCTTCAGTTTGATCCGCCTCCATAACAAGATTGTTGAAGAAAAAAATAAAATGTCTTCATATTTTCTGCAAAAAATCCCATTAAAACACACAAACACAAATAAAACTCGAAGAAAATTCAAAAAGTAAATTATTTGACAAGTTTTTAGGTTTACTGATGTATGGATTCAATTCATTTAAGTTAACAGTACATCTTAGGAACCACAGATCTAATCAAAATAGTAAGTTACTTTTCTCCTGGAGTGCTAAAGACATGAAGAACATGTTGGTTATAGTTGATATAAGCTGTGTCTATGTGTTGTAATGTTCAAAATATATGTCTCACATGAGAGGAAACCTCTCACGTTCCTCCCTGAAAAATACGTACAGTCGGGCATTTGAGAAAGATAAGAATAACAATCCAAGGGTTTTGCATAGAAAACTTTGACAGGATGGTTGCAGGTGGAGACTGAATGCCATTTAAATAGTGTAAAGTGCAGAAACAGACAGTGTAAGGCAGAAAAGTCAAGTTGAAAACATCACATCTATTGCTCTAGTGAGAAAGATGGGGGAGATGAAGTGGTGTGAAAACTGGGAAAGGAGAAGAGGTAGACAGATAGACCAAGGAGAAAACAAACAGGAATGCATGAGCCAGCTGAGGACAAGGGTGAGACAGGAAGGTAAAGAAACGGTTATTTTTTAATCTTCTGTGAGGATGAGATAAGATGAAACAATCTTCTCCTGAAATCTGAATCCTCACGTGACTCTCACAGAGCTTCAGTCACCTTTGCTGCATTTCATCTGCTGATTTAAATAAAAAGAAGCTGCTCTGAATCTCCAAAGATTAGAGCTGATTAATAATTTAATAATGACCAGAAAAGTTGGAGTCTGTAGAAAATATTCCACGTTTGGGCCTCTTGCCGATTGTCAGTCTCCTCGCCTTCAGTCTCGCACAGTTTAGCCTGTAATCTAGAATATGCATCTTCACACCTTATGCTTCATCTCTGTGTGACTCTGATAAACTAGGATCCGCTTTAGAGTCGGTGCAGAGTGGATTTTTGTCTTTTTCTGCTGTTTGTTGTTCACCATGTTCATCAGATCTACAGCTGATGTTTTCCTTCTTTGTACTTTTTGGAGACTCTTCAGTAATCTCCGGTAATTCTTTTTCAATCTTAGCTCTAGCTGTAACCTGTTTGCTTTGTTCCTCTGCGTCCGATTCTCCAGATTCCCCTGCCTCCTCAGACAAAGAGTACATCTCTCTTAAAACCTCACCCGATGCATCCTCCTTGCTGCCGTGGTGGTGTATTTGGAACAAAACAAAGTCGCTAATTTCTTTGGAGAAGTTGCTCCGTTGGCTGGAATTTTCACTGCAGCTCTCATCTGAGACCAAGAGTCCGTTTGGTAGACCGTTGGATGCTTCGGGCGGCCGGGACAATGCTGAAGAACTGGTTTGCTTGAGGATGGACGTGGTGATCTTGAAACGGTTCAGTTTGCTTTTCACTTGGCTCCTCGGAGGGCAGGGGGAGAGCTTGAGCGAGGCGTTGGGGTAAGCAAGACTAGATTCCACTGAGCTGCAGCTGGCCATGGCACCTTGTAGGATGGGCTTCCCTGTCTTCATCATGCCCATCACCTCATAGCGGAAACTGGAGATATCCTGCTTCAGCTCCTACAAGAGCAAAGCAAAAATCAAGTTATAAAGTTTAAAGTGGTCTTAGAACAATATATTCTGCTAGCATTAGCAGTTGCTCGGGGGAATGCTAACAATAGCTCAAGCTAGCATTAGCAGTAGCTTGGGGAAGTGTTAGCAGGAGATAGGGCTAGTTCTGTGGTTAGCATTACCTAGGAATTCCACCTGCTCCATGAATCCTTTGAACAGCTCTTAAAAGTGAGCAATGAGAACAGAGTACAGAACGATTTATCTTATCTTCACCTCACGTTTCTGTTGGACATTCGCGTTGCATCAGTACCTAAACTACCCAATAACCACATGGGGTTTTGTCTGTGATTCAGTTGTTTTTTAATGATGATGATGTCATTGTTTGTCCTGAACTTAAATAAATCTGTGAACTCTGATAACCCTGTCTAGTGCGCTTTACTTGTTGGATTGCTGCAGCAGTGTAATTTCTGTACCATTTTTATTTTCATTCAATACATGGTACTATGCGCAGTGGTTAGAGCTGTTGCCTTGCAGCAAGAAGGTCCTGGGCTCGTTTCCCAGCCTAGGATCTTTCTCTTTGGAGTTTGCATGTTCTCCCTGTGCATGTGTGGGTTCTCTCCGGGTACTCCGGCATCCTCCCAAAGTCCAAAGACATGACTGTTAGGTTAACTGGTCTGTCTAAATTGTCCTTAGGTGTGAGTGTGTGTGTGCATGATTGTTTGTCCTGTGTGTCTCTGAGTTGCCCTGCGATGGACTGGCACTCTGTCCAGGGTGTACCCTGCCTGATTGCCCGTTGACCGCTGAAGATAGGCACCAGCCCCCCCCCCCCCCCCCCCCCCCCCCCACACACACACACACACTTCTAATGAAAATCACAAAGCTGCTTGTGATAAATCATGCCCCTTAGGAATAGATCTGCATCCTTGTTTCCATATAAACCAGACAAACACAGTTGCTAACTATTTTTAGCTTGATATTAACTGGGTCATCGTGAAAGTAGATGATGTAAAGAACAGTTTTAAAGCTTTTAGAGTGAACCAAAATAGGAAAGCTGAGGTTCATAAATACAAATATGTAAAAATACCTCCCTGACTGTACAGTCAAGTGATTATCCTCAGTGGATTTGTCATGATCGGCGTGGGAGGTGATCTAATGCCAATAGATGTGCTGAATATAGCTTTTGGTCGTTTTTTTACACTCTGATTCTACCTTGAAGTTGTCTTCAGTCAGACCTTCTTCTGTCTTGGCATCTCTGATCATCGCAGCAACATAACGTTTCACCAGGTTCCTTAAAACCTCCTAATGCAGTAAAAATGGAACAAAAATACATTTGTGTGTTGTTTAACATAAAGCAATAAGCGACCAAACAACTAATCAGTGCAGAAAGGCACATCTGTAGCTATCTCCTGTAAACATGCAACTATCACCTCCTGTGCAGGTAGACAAATAGGAAAACCTCTACAGGGAATGATGATTAATGTCCTGCTGACAATAATTGGTTGGCTTATTGTGTGTGATGGTGCCAAAGCTTTCTATTCAGGCTGAAAATGGAAGCTACTGGGGAGCAGAATCAGTGTTTCATAAATGCTTAAATAGGGATTATTTACCTGATACTGATGATTTATCCTCAGGTTCTCTGCTGCTCTTCTCTGCAGGAACATCAGACAAATGTAAATGTAATTAGAATAGATTATGGTATTAATAAAACAAAAGTTTTCATTATTTAAACAACTGAAGCCTAATTATCATCAGTAAAATCCAATAAACGCTTCCTTACTCCAAGAGTCCCAAAGGATTCCGGGCGCTTGGACCGTGTCCTCTTACACACTTGCCTCTTGATCCAACACATGAGGTACCAGAAGGATTTGGGGCTGGGAATAATGTTGAAAGGCGCTGGGAGAGTTGCCCCTTCCTCAAAGTAACTCATCCACAGCTTCGTCCGGGCGAACTTCCACTCGATGTCCGCGTGGTCCTGAAAGCAGACACTTTTAAAAAGAACTACACAGCGGCGGAGCCCCGGGGGCGGATGAGGTTCGTCCTGGGTATCTCAAGGCTATGGATGTTGTAGGGCTGTGATGGTTGACACGTCTCTACAACATTGCGTGGTCATCGGGGGCAGTTCCTAGGGAGTGGCAGACCGGGGTGGTGGTCCCCATCTTTAAGAAGGGTGACCTGAGGGTGTGTTCCAACTATAGGGGGATCACACTCCTCAGCCTCCCTGGAAAGGTCTACTCCAAGGTACTGGAGAGGAGGGTCCAATCGATAGTTGAATCTCAGATAGAGGAGGAGCAATGTGGTTTTCGTCCTGGCCGTGGAACTGTGGACCAGCTCTATACCCTTGCAAGGGTGATGGAGGGGGCATGGGAGTTTGCCCAACCAATCCACATGTGCTTTGTGGATTTGGAGAAGGCTTATGACCGTGTCCCCAGGGGCACCCTGTGGGGGACGCTCCAGGAGTATGGGGTGGGTGGCTTTCTGTTAAGGGCCATTCAGTCCCTTTACCAGAGGAGCGTGAGTTTGGTCCGCATAGCCGGTAGTAAGTCGGACCTGTTCCCAGTGAGGGTTGGACTCCACCAGGGCTGCCCTTTGTCACCGGTTCTGTTCATCACTTTTATGGACAGAATTTCTAGACGCAGCCGTGGTGTGGAGTGTGTCGAGTTTGGTGGCAGGAGAATCTCGTCTCTGCTTTTTGCGGATGATGTGGTCCTCCTAGCTTCATCCAGCTCTGACCTTCAGCTCTTGCTGGGTAGGTTCACGGCCGAGTGTGAAGCGGCTGGGATGAGGATCAGCACCTCCAAATCTGAGACCATGGTTCTCGACCGGAAAAGGGTGGCTTGCCACCTCCGGGTCGGGGGAGAGGTCCTACCTCAAGTGGAGGAGTTTAAGTATCTCGGGGTCTTGTTCACGAGTGAGGGTAGGAGGGATCGGGAGATCGACAGGCGGATTGGTTCGGCGTCTGCAGTGATGCGGACGCTGAGCCGATCTGTCGTGGGGAAGAGGGAGCTGAGCCAGAAAGCCAGGCTCTCGATTTACCGGTCGATCTACGTCCCAATCCTCACCTATGGTCATGAGCTTTGGGTAATGACCGAAAGAACGAGATCGCGGATACAAGCGGCCGAAATGAGTTTCCTCCGTAGGGTGGCCGGGCTCAGCCTTAGAGATAGGGTGAGGAGCTCGGACATTCGGGAGGGACTCAGAGTAGAACCGCTGCTCCTCCGGATCGAAAGGAGCCAGTTGAGGTGGTTTGGGCATCTGGTCAGGATGCCTCCTGGACGCCTCCCCGGGGAGGTGTTTCGGGCATGTCCTGCCGGCAGAAGGCCCCCGGGTCGACCCAGGACACGTTGGAGAGGTTACATCTCCAATCTGGTCCGGGAACGCCTTGGGGTCCTGCCGGAGGAGCTGGTGGACAAGGCCGGGGAGAGGACGGCCTGGAGCTCCCTAATTGGGATGCTGCCCCCGCGACCCGGACCCGGATAAGCGGAGGAAGACGAAGACGACGACGAATGAACAGATATTTGGTGGGTTTTAAAGGTCAACTTCACTCATTCGGACATTCCATAGCAACATGACTAACTCTCTTTGATCTGCAACGTGGATGTTTTATTCCCACAAATAACGCAAGCCTGGAGGAGTTGCTAATGCTAACGGTTAGCTTCTACTAGCCAAGGCATTCTCTGCTGTTTCTATGGACGTTAAACCAACAACAGCCTTCCCTGTCGTGAAGGGACAGTGTGACGTAGATCTGTCAGGGTTTTCTAATCCTAAAGTTTCACCATCCATTTTCCATCGGAGGCTAATGCAGGGGATAGGTGTAGGAGACTATTTTCATGAAAAACTCTGAGTGACCGACTACAATCAGAAATAATAATTAAAAACCTTTTTAGTGAAGTTGACCTTTAAGGCTTCTTTTTTGTATTTGATGTTGTTTTGTGCTTACAGCAATGTGCTGGTAGGAGTTGTTCATCATGGCTATGAGCATGTTGAGGAGCACTACCAGCGAGATGATGTTGTAAGTCCCAAACATGGTGGCTCCAACGAACTCGGTGAACTGATGGTCTGCATCCACGTTGGTCACATAGAGGCTGATCAGTCCAAAGATTGACCAGAAAAGAGACTGTAGAGTCTCAAATAACCTAAAAGATAATCATTTTAATCATCTTAATGCACTTTGTGCAGAGCAATAATTTTAGAAAGCCGAAGGAAATTCTTAATAGTGAAAAACAGTTTGCCTAAAGCAACCACAGTAGTTGTTTTTTAAATAATCTTAACACATTTTCCCACCAGTAACAGTCAAACCAGACTCTTTCACACTCACTTTCACAGCATCTCACATTCCCTCAGATGGACTAAACTCACGTAGAGAAAGCATTATTCTGTTCCACGCAGCGGATGCCCTTGCATTTTCCTCTCTCCTCAGAAGCTTTCGTCTCATAGTAAAAGTACAGCTGGTTCAGCCCATTTGCAAAGGCCAAAAGAACCTGGAGAGAGACGAAAGTTAACTTCTGTCCAATGTTTCTGTCCCACTCCTGAATATCTGAGAGTTTACCAAACAGTAAATGAAGAGAAACTTGAGGATGTCCAGCAGCATCCTCCCGAGTGAGATCTGCAGCGGCCCCAGATGAGAGTTGGCTGTGAAGAGTGAGATGAGGCGCAGGGAACTGAAGATGTTTGCTATTGCAAACACGGCCTCAGCAACTAAGGTAGGATGCCACATTTCCCACTGGTTTCTGGGTTTGGTACCACTGTACTGAACAGAGGAAAAAAACACAGGAGACTGGTGCAGTGAAGAAAAAGGAGGAGATGCTTCAATGGAGCTTCAGCTTATCAGAAACAACGGGTTACCTTAGTGTAGGCTACGATCTTCAGAGATATAGTGGCCAAGTACAGAGAGTTCATGACAAAGTCCATCAGGTTCCACCAATCGTGGATGTAGTCCTGGAAACCCCCGTCCCACATCTGCTTGATCTCTGCCCAGATGAATCCTAACACACACACACACACACACACACACACACACACACACACACACACACACACACACACACACACACACACACACACACACACACAACATTCTGATTGGTTCCAAGTTGTGTGATGTACGTTGAAATGAAAAGATGACAGAGAATTAAAGGAAATAGATTATGACTTCTATATAAAGATATTCATGAAGTTGTTTGCATAAAACCTCTCACATGAAACAATTTCAGGAATTTTATTTTTGACATTTTAAGTATCTTCCATAATGAGCCGTTGCAGGGCTCCGTCACTTTTAGAAAAGAAGCTGGAGCTGGCCCCGCCCACCCATCCCTTGCTTGAGCCGATTTTAGCTGAGAAGCTCTGATATCTGGTAGAGGCTTGTAACAAAACCTCTGCTCCTCCAGCAGCAGCTCACTTGGTCTTCAGAGGTGGTTCTGTTTTGATTTCCCTCGTTTGTGACATCACAAATACCTGTTCTTGAAACAGCTTGTTTTAAGCACATACTTCCTAAAACCAAACACTGACCAAAAATGTATGGATGTTTATTTGTCACGTTTGGAGTGTTTATAGAGGCAGTAGAGACCCACATGGCAGCACAAAAGGAAGGTGAGTTTAGCACAATATGTCCCCTTTAAAGCACTTTAAACTTTATTCATCACTCATTGAATGAGTTCTGCTGTGCTGGCTACAAATCCATTAAGGTAACAAAAAAAAAACCTGAAAGATATTGATAACAATGTACAAGCAAGTTTTAAAATGTTGTAAACCAAAAATCTAAAATTAATGCAACCCTAATCCACTGATTTGGTTGTTTAGATGTCTCAGTGGACCAAAGAAAGTATTGAAATTCTAACTCTGTTGCAAAAAAATCAGTCAAGGCATTATGTTTTTAAGTCTTCTCATTGAAAAAGGAGAAGGGGGAAACTATTCTAAGAGTGTTTAAAAACCTTATAATTAAAAATTATAGATATTTTAGTTGCATAATAAACATCTGTATTAGTTTAAAGTGCAGAACAAATAAATCAGTTTAAAGTTAGGAAAACAAAACTTCCCCTTGACCATTCCTCAACCATCGGGATAACAGATGTTTCCCACATCTTTCATTGTCAGCCTTTTTACTCACCCAGCACCCACGGCAGTATCATCCACTCCACAGTGGTTGGCGCCGGACCCTGCCTATCCTGCCTGTCCTGCTCGGGTGAGACTATGTGCTGGGAGGCGAGAAGCAGCAGGAACAGAAAGGTCAAGTAGGAAGCTGTGTGGCAGATAAACTTGATGAATGGCTTGCGGATGAAGAGGCCGTAGCGACTTTTAGGTGCGATGAGGTAACAGAGGGCGAACGTGGGATAGAGGAGGCCGATGAAGACACAGGTGATGAACTTTCCAGCCCAGTGGCGCCGCCTCCAGCCCGGGAACTCATCATACCACCTGGACGCCAGGAGCTGCTGACAGTTGGGCTGAGCTACAAACTTAAAAAAAGAAATTAAATTAAATAGAGCCATAAAATGTTCATAATAACACTTCATACAATAATCCAAAATGCAAGTGCAAGTTTCTGTTTAACCAGTTACCCAGTTACGTGATGTGCTTGAAACTATCTGCCAAAATTAGCACCTGCAGCAAGCTTGAGGTAAGGGCAAACCAATGATGGAGTGGGATGTGTTGGTGGAGTCAAAAACTAGAAGGTTATCAACTGCACGCACTGATATTTTAGAATAAAACACATTATTGGCAGCCGTGATGCAGAAAGCGGAGGATAGCTGTCAAGAAAGGAGAGGCTTATATTTCTGCTGCTTGTTTCCTACGTTTTCTTGGGATGTGAAAAATGAGATGAGATCATTTGACACCACAAAACAGTAATGAGTTGTAAAACATACAATTTTGTCTCATTTCCTGCTGTTTGGTAGTTTTGTTTAGTAAAAGGTTTGATGCACCTGTGTGTCAAGAACAATTCCACCAAACTACAGTTGTTTAAAGGTTCTTGGGATCCTTTTTTATATTGAAAAAAAAAAAAAGGATTGTGAATGTTCCCACTGGGAGCAGGCTTGCCTGTGTAAACACATTTACATCGATGCACACATTGTTCAGAGACATCACGCTGAGTTCTCATATCAAAATGATGACCTGCATCACTGGGTACCAATTTACTAACCGTGCAGAATTTTTACCATGGGAACTAGAGACCCTGTCTGTGTTGGGGGTTGAGGCACAAAGTATATCATATTCCCCCACTTCAAATACAATGAAGGCACAAAACATGACGCTGACATGTACGGCTGGAAGTGAGGGTTAGATCAGTTCTACCAACAAAAGGAGACGCTATGAAACATCTCTGATGGAGATCTACAATTATAATATTTTAAAGAGTTAAATGTAAAGAAGAAAGTGTATGACTATGCTATTTGTGTTTTTATTTTTGGTTTGATGTATTTTCATGTCTGTGCAGCACTCTGATGGCATATTTTGGGTATGCTAATAAAGGTTGAGTTGAGACTATGGAAAACCAAATGGACAAAAAGCATTAGGAGATCAGGAGGGATAGCAGGTTGGTGATCGGGGGATCGTGGGATTGATCCCAGCTCCCATCAGAGTAGTCTGCTGTTGTATCCTCCAGCGACGGTCAGCGGCATAGACATAAATACGTGGATGCACAATTGGGCGCTGGGGATCGTAAAAGCATCAACGCCATATTGGGTGGGTTCCTCACTCTCTAAACTCAACGAGTCGATGAATGGGCAACTCGGCTTGTCTTTTGTGCAGCCTACGGTATATTTAAATTATCATGCCATACCATATGTATGGCAATGTGAAAAAGCTTAATAAAATGTGTTTTTATTTTTGTTGTGTAAACACCTTCTTCAGTAGAAATAAATGCACTGGGGCGAATTCAAGTTGGCAGCCCGCTGCTACAGCAGCTCCAACAGGAAGCGCCAGTCCACGTTGTGTCTATGTAGCCTATGCTGTCTGTGGTCAGCGGGGCACAAAATGGCAACTTCATCTTTGTCAGACCACCCCTGGGCGCTGTGGCTGAGTAGTAGCTTACTATCACCGGCAGTGTGTGAAGGTGTGAGTACATGAATAATAGAAAACACTTTGAGTGCCTAGAAAATTGCTTTATGAATCTAATTCATTATTGTTAATAATACAGGGTGATGAGCTTCAGTCAGCTTAGCAAACCAAACTAGCTTGAGTTAAAGATTAAAGTCTAATTAGTCATCACACACACTGACTAAATTTGTTCTCCGCATGTGACCAATCCCCTGGGGCAGTGGGGAGCTGTAGACACGGCCATGCTTGGGAACCATTAGATGGTTCAACCCCCCAATCGAACCTCGTAATGGTATGTGTGAAGTGGGGAGGCATTGGCTCCTGTCTGGCAACGCTCCATTGACGGCTCTCGGTTGTGGGTCGGGTTCTAGCGTTGTCTTTCAAATGATCTCCGCATGCTACTGGACAATGAATGTGACATACTCAATGTGACATAGTCACTGTGCCCTGACTGGCCCACAAAGCAGATAAAGCTCTGTGACTTGTTCACTAAGCAGATAGAGCACTATGATTGGCCCACCATTATGGACCAATCACAGCTCTTTATGTGTTTGTAACCCTAGAGAGCTGTGATTGGCCAGCCAGAATGCTGCTAGGGGCTGCAGAGGTTCCAGTGGAGTGTTCCTAGACCAAACTTTGCAAAGCAAGAATTTGGTCTAGTTCGCTAGGCTAATTGGCTCCCCTTTTTTAAAGTCTTTGGTATGACCTGGCCGTGGATTTGAACCCGCAATCAGTCTCAGGGGAGAAACTCATATAGGGCACTGAGCAGGTGATGCTAACTCTATCTGCATTAAATTAATGTCAGTCTGTAAACTCAAGCTAACTACGGAGAGAGGGGAACGAAAGGGAGTTCATCCTTTGTGTGTTGGAGCTATGTTAGCATAGCCTGTTGTAGCATTAGCAGGGGTGTGTTAGCATTGCGAGTGCCTGGATTCCTGCTGGTTTTAGATATTTCTCTGCTTGAAGACTGCAGATTTGATTAAAACGAGTGATTTGAAAGAAAAGAAAGAAAGAAAACGATCGTTTCTATAGCGTGCCTCTCAAGATAAAAATCACGAGGCGCTTCACATAAACAATAAATTTAAAATATATAAAAGATTTTAGAAAATGATGAAAAATACGTTTAAAATAAGCTAAATAGACAATTATGATTAAAATGCAAAGAAAGAGAGAGAGTGAATAGTAAAAAAGGAAATCAGTGGATCCTGGGGAAGGCGGAATGGGTGGGGAGAGCAGAATAAGGAGAGGGTGGTGATGATTAGCAGCTTCTGCAGGACAGATGAAGCTGAGTAGATAGTGTGTGTGTCTGGGTTAGGGTGTGTAGATAAGGTGTGTCTGAGCAGGAATAACAAAATCATTATTGACTGTGAAGCCTGCCGCACATGAGAGCAAGCCGATGAGCAAACAGCCTCGAATGACTGTTTGCTCAGCAGATACCTCGCTGCGTGCGTCTGGTTTTCACTGAGTTTTCTGCACTTCTGTAAAAGCATTTGTCAAATAAATACCCATTTACATAAAAACTGCAATGATTGGGAAATATGTGCCTGAAAATATTGACAAATGTTTCTTGCTTTTTTTTTTTGCTGCACAGAGAACCTTCCTTTTCGACTGTATTTTTGAGTCTTTTTTCAGAGCAGCTGCTCCTCCATTTCTGCCATAAACCTTTCCCTGGAGCCTTTTCCTCTCAGTGAGAGAAAGTCTCAACAAGGCCAACATCAGTGAGATGATGCCCTCCTTTCACCCGTCACATTCACTTAGAGAACCTGCTGTTAAAGTGCCAAATTTGCCTCCTGCAGCTGTTTCACATAACTCAAGTCCAGTTGGAAAAGCGTCTCTCCACAAATCACATCTGTCCATAAGTGCCAGAAGACTGCTTATTGCTGAGTGCAAAGGATGTTTTTTTTTTATTTCTGGCTCAGTAAAGACATGTCCCCCTGCAGCATCCTGCCTAAAAGGTCTGCTTAAAAGTTTCTCCTTTTTCAGACGTCATTCTGCTCGTATTTAGGACAGATGCTGCAGAAGTTTGAATGTTACATGGTTTTGCAGTCTAGTTCACAGCCTCATGCAGCTGAGCTAGACCCACAAAACTTTGCTTTATGGACATTTTTGTTCTTGCAAAAACAGCTAAATGAATGATAGATGACTCTCAAAAGCCAGGAAAGGGCAGAGTTTAACATCTGGGTGTATTTTTATTGGTCTTTGAGGGCATTTCAACTCGTATCCAAAGACTGCATCATCGGGGAGTTACACATTCACAAGCTGCAGCTGAGAAAATCCCTCTGAAATATTCAGAGAATCCATACAGCATCATCACCATTTCCTCCTTCTTTATGCTCATTGTGGAGCAATAACCTCTGATTTGAATTCATGACTCCACAGATCTAGTTTCTGAAATGCTTGCATCTTGATCACCTACAAATCTATGAGGAGGAATTTTGTTGCGAGACACGTACGATTTTTTTTCCTAAAACTTTTTATGGTGGTTTTTGTACAACATAGAAGACAGACTGTGTTGTTGCTTTTCTCTTTGTCCCTGAGACCTCCGTTTGACCTCCAGGAATAAACAGCTTCCTGGGAGAACTTCACTATCTGGTCATATAGTCTTCTGCATCCTGTGCTTCACATTTGCAAAGATGAATGCTGACTGCTTGTTGTTACTCCAACTTCTGTGTAATGCTACCTGGCTTGTTTTAATTGTGAAATAAATAAATATCCATCCATTCCGTTTCCTAAACTTCTCTGTGGGGGTGGGGTGTGTGTGTGTGTGTGTGTGTGTGTGTGTGTGGGAAGGGGGGGTGGGGGTTGCTGATGCCTATCCCCAGCTGTCTTCGGGCAAACAGGCAGATTACACCCTGAACAGATTGCCAATCCATCACAGAATGAATAAATACACAAGCAAACAAACCAAATAAATAAATAAAACAAACAATCCAATAAATAAATGAACAAATCAATAAACAAAACAAATCAATACATGAAACAATATCATATTATTTGAATGTCGATAATTATGGAAATTTATTCAATTAAGTTAATAACAAATAAAAACATATGCTAATTGTGAAATTTACTGAACATATAAAACTGTGTTTATTAGGTCTGTAAGGTCAAAACTAGAAGACTCCTACTGAAAGAGTCAAAATATATCTACTGAATGTTTGTAATATAATTTGACTGGGACAACTAATAAACATCATTCTGTATGCTCTAAATAATAATTCCTTTTATTTATTCGAATTTACAAGAAATAAGGACTTAAAATATTTAATTCTATTTTTAATAAATCTATTTCAAGTCCCATTAGTCATCGTCACTGACCCGTCCCCATGTGGAGTAGTGAGCAGCAGCAGTGGCTGTGCTCGGGAACTATGTGGTAGTTTAACCGCCCAATCCAACCCCTTAAAGCTGAGTGTCAAGAGGG